CATGGCCCGGAACGTGTCCCTCGCCGGCTCCACGCAGCGGCCCCCATGGCCCAGGCCCCGCTCCCGCACCCAAGCAAACAGGCCCCCGCCTGGGGCCGAGACTGGGGTGGTGCAAGAAAAGGAGGCCGGGGGTGACTTCGGTGACATCGCCCGGGGAGGTGAGGTCGAAGGGGGCGGCGACTGGTCCCCGTCGCCCGGGGGCGACCGCTCTGGGGTAGGGCCCCACCGCGCCTTCCAGCTCATCCCGAGCCCGGCCCCGCCGCCACGACAAGCAGCAGCAGCAGCAGCATTCCCTTCGGCCCTCGGCTCCCCACCACTTCCGGTGCGGTGAGCACCGGAGAAAATGCACCGGGCGCAAACTCGAGCCTGTCTGGAAGCGGCCGCCCAAATGGTTTTCCCCTTTGGCGAAACACCCGCTCAACAGGCGCTGCGTCAGGATCCGCGGCTCTCCTGAAAGGCCCTCCTGTTCCACTGCAGTCGGTCGGGCTTTGAGCGGCTAATTGTGTATTTAAATAATTTGGAAAACGAGGTCGTCTTATGCCTCTGCTTTCATTTCAGAATTTCAGGACCGTCAAAGGAATGCAAGCGTAGTTTTCAGGAGTTATATAAAAGTAAATGCCTGCTTTCAGCAAGGTTTGTGCACAGGTAAGTATGCATGATTGCTAGCAGGGTTCCAAGAGTCTCACAGACCCAGACCCAAATTAATTTTTTGTCTACACTGCATGTCTGTCAAATTGGCAGGAGGAAGCCAGCAGTATGTTGTCTTGTTACTTAGTCTCTCTAGATTAGCGATCCAACCTTTCACAACATAACCTGAGAATGCTTGGGGTAAAAATTGGGCTTGTGACATAATGGCCTAAATATGCCAGAACTGATTGCAACCATCCTTACACTTGCCAAGGAATGCTGTGTGTGCCACAGGTATATGACCTAGGCTGGGAATAGTCTGCTTCTTCCCTATCTTACTAAAAAAGCATTATGTGAAAGCTTCTATTGACCAAAGACATAATGGTAGGCAAAATCAGTATCCATGGGCCTATCTGGTAATGGCCATGAAATATGGAAGATTGTGACTTGGAATGTAGGAGGACTCAGTGAAGCTAAGGACATCAGCAGCAACAGGGCAATGCACAACAGTAACTAATGGAAGATCAGAAAAGAAGGCCCTGGGTAGATTGGCCAGTTGCATAGCCATCATCTATGTTCTTGGTTTCAAGACTGGCCATTCAAAGGAAGTGGGGAGAAGCACGCCATACCTGTCATACTTATTCTGTAAAATCCTCTTCAAAATGTTCTGGGTGTTGGCTCTGCTGAATCAGTCCATCTGGAAAGATTCAGCAGAATATTTGAGAGACATGTTTGTTTCAGGTTTGAAAGAATATACATTTTCTCCTTCACAAACATCCCTTGCGTGTGCACTTTCGTATGCAGATGATGCCAGGTTGTTGGCTGAGAACTCAGCTGACGTGCAGCAAAAGTGAAGACTATCTTGCAGTGAGGAATATGGATCTGAAAATTATGTATCAAAAATCAAGGTGTGACTGACAAGGAAAATGGAGTGAATGACTATACGTTATACATATATGGCAAAAACTAGAACAAGTAGATGAAATGTGGGTATCTTGGTGTGTGTCCAAGGGGAAATGGAGAAATGTTAAACAAGCAAATACTGTTAGACTTGTGGCCATATTAAGGGAGATTCCCATGCAAGCCACTTGGAGAAAGGTGGGATATAAATCTAACAACAAAATTGCTTCAGAAGGTCAAACACCTTCAAAAGGGAACTATACCGATGTAAAAACAGTTGTCAAGCTTTCCAGTTAAAGCTAAGGAAAGCATTCTGATTGCCACAAATATAAGCTGAGGGCCTGTAAACAAACAAAACACCTGGGATATACAAGCAGTATGCATTTTTTCTTCATCCTCCAGGTTCCTTAACCGGTCCACATGGGATCTTTAGAAAGCAAAGTCATTGTCCAAAAACTTCGGCAGGAACAACAAAGGAGTTTTCTGAGGTCTTCTGCCCTTAAGACACTTTACAGAAACACCTACTCTTTTTAACTATCAAACCATCACTTGAGCCCTTTTTAGCACATGGGATGCTTGTCACTGATGCAGCAACCAAAATTAAAGGCATATGTGGTATCCTCAACTATTTGAACAGGACACGGACATGGACACCCTCTGCTCAATGAAATGTATAGACAATGATCCAGGGGCTGTTGCTGGTAGAGACCTGTTCCTATTGTACCTGATCCCACCCTGCACCACAACTTACCATTTGTCTCAGCTGCACACTCCCATACACATTTGTAAAAAGCATTATAGCTCATTACATTTCTGAAGTTTGTGGGATTTCATGGTTGGTTTCTGAGGAGATAGTGCATATAGTAATAGTTGGATGAACAAATAAGATCAATCAATGATTCTGAAAGGTGGGTCAATAAGCTTCCTAGGCACACTACTTTTAATTTGTATTGGATCCCTATTTTATCTATCACTATGGAATTAATGATAAAAAATAGGTCATGTAGGCTGCAGCAATATGGGATTGATTCAATCAAATAAACATTGGGTATATTCATGCACTGATTTGTTCTTAAATTTTTAGATTAAAGAGCTTCTCATCTGTGCAGAGAACAAGAAAATATTCATGAGTGATATTTGATGAATATTAGAATTAGATTTGGGGATCTGAATAAATAGAATATATTTTGGACAGTTTTCCTGTAGTTACTTATTATACTTATTATAATGGGCAAATATTATAGACCCAACTAATTCACCAAGCTAATAAACTGAGCTAAGTTAGGATTAAAGCAGGTATGTTTACAGCAAGACTAGAATTTCCATGAATATCAATCTTGAGCCAACAGCATACTATATTTCTTCATTTAAAAAGAAAACACTGTAACTGCTTTTCCATCTTTGCTTGAAAGTCTAACATGGTTACAGGAATATTTAGCATAGCTCTGAGATATCAGCATTAGGAAAGCTATCACATCGCTATAATTTAAAAGGTTTTACAGAGAGCAACAGCATAGACACATATACTAATTTATTATACCATTTTCCAATTATGTCTGCAGGATCTTTTTTAATAAATCAAAAAATAAAAAAGCTGAAATTCACAAATGTATGAAAGCATTGTTAAAACCAGAGCAGAATTAGAATTACATTATAAACCTCGTGAAAATAAAAAAGGGTGCTGATCCAGTGCAAAAAACCTAAGCGTATAGGAACGAACCAAACCTTGCCAGTACTTTAGAGGAAATGAGAATATATACACACCTCATTTGTCTTTTCTAATGTCTGAGTAAAAAAAAGTCTTCTTGTAGCAGATGTTTAGTCAGCTGTATAGAAATAAAAGATATGAGTGTTAACTCTTAATCACAGCATATCATTAATTATGATAAAAAGAAACTGAGTTGCAAGTATCTGATCTCACTTCTTTTAAAGAAACTGATTCCAATTGAGATGTACTTGAAACTACTTCAGAAGTATTGCACAATCAAAAGTAAACTTTGATTCTCTTTTCACTGCATCTAAAACTGGTCCATTTTGATTTTATAACTTTCACTCAGTAATTAGTTAAGCTTGACCTCATTGTTTGCGAAGATTAATAAATCAGCAAGTTTTATTAGGAGGAACTGGTCTTCTCTTTCTCTCTTGGTATTCTTCCCATGATATAGAATTCTGGGTTGGGATGCAGATCTGTGAAGTGAGCTATGCGATTTGACATGGCAAAAAAGGCTGAAATGGAGCCTATGTCCCAGGCATCTTCTCGGTCAAATCCATGT